CTTTGGTCGAAACCATAAAGCCTTGAGGTGATGTTCATCTTCCTTTTTCAAGCTGTTTTTCTCTGCTTCAATAAGGCGTGAGATAAGCATATTTCCTTTATATATATTCCAAAGCTACAGTTTCAATAATGCAAGTAATATTCTAAAATTATACTTCAAAAGGTTATTATTGCAGAACTCTTTATGGATTAAATGCAAGCAAAAAGCAACATCTATAACACTTTAATTCAAATGCTCCTAAATCAACTAGGGTTAATTTGCAAACAAAAGATAGGTTCAAAAGTCTTTTTCCATGCTTTATTTTCCTCAGTTATTACTAGAATTCACAACTATCCCATTGTCGGTATCCACACATTTCTCATTCACAAGTACACACATTGCCTGTTTGTACCTGACACGAAACACAGCTTTGCATCTCACAAGGGGTTGTGAGGGGCCGTGAGGGGCTGTGAGGGGCCATGTGGGGCTGTGAGGGACCATGAGCAGCTGTGAGGGACCCTTGCCCCTCTATGGAGAACTGTCATTCCTGTCCAGGAACCCATGGCTGAAATGGAATTCCACCCCAAAACTCCCCATATATCCAAGGGTTGCTTTCAGACAAAAGCTGCAAGGACAGACAGATCTGGCTTGCCTTGGCCTCTGGGACTGCTTCTCATGTGCCTTCAAAACCCTGGAGTTCTGTGATTTCCTTCCTATAGGAAAGAACTGTCCCCATTGTCCAGGTGCTCCTGGCCTCAGGCACTTGACCACTATACAGGGATGCAGTTTGACAAGAAAGTCTCACAGATATGTATGCTTGGCTGAAAGATTTTTGAATGTAATGTCTGAAGACGAATATAAATGAAAGCAAGTTTTGATATAAAAGAAAAGAATTGATGAGCCAGTCTTTTTGGATAGCTAAGAAGGCAAAGTGTATGTTAGTTAGAAGGGGTTTTTATGACTTAGAGCAAAGGATAAGCCCACCTCAAACAAGAAGATTTTACCAAGCAGAAAGATAGCACAGGCAAACAAGTCAGCAAATTTTGCAAGTAGAAAAAAGGTCTCAGAATTTTCCACTGCAAGAAAACTGGAAAACAACTTTTAGCTTAAACTTTAATGTACTAACTTTTTGTGATTGGAGAATAGTAACATGAATATGGTAATGATAGTAGTTATGATTGGCTATAGGTAAAAGTTAAGGTATAGATTGGTTCTATTTTGTGAAGATGCTCAGCAAAGAAAAGTATATAATGCATTTGTAACCTAAACTAAGGGTCTCCAGGCCTGCAGCTGGAGCTGACAGCTGTAGGCACAGGCTCTGTCACCCATGACTCTGGACTGCTGTATCACCTTGGATACAATAAACTGCACTTTGAAGAGCCGCCTGGAGCCCCACATCCCTCATTTCAGCTCTCACAAACTGGTGTTGCCCGGAAGTGCCAGTGCCCAGATCCAGAAATTTCCTGGTGCTGGTGCAGCCCAAGTGCAGCAATTTGCAGGCAAAAACCCCCAAAATCTGGCAATTTTCCACTGCTGGCTCTGTTGCTGCCCAGACCTGGAGTTTCCCAGCACTGCCATTGCCCAGATGCAGAAATTTCCCAGTGCTGGCAAAGCCCAAGTGCAGCAATTTGCTGGCACAGAAATCAAAACCCTGACAAATACCTGGGGCTGGCACCACCCAGATCTGGTGTTTTCCAGCACTGCCAGTGTCCAAACATGGCATGGCAATTTCCTGGTGCTGGCACAGCCCAATTCCAGCAATTTGCTGGCAAAGAAAGCCTAAATCAAGCAAATACCTGGATTTAAAAGGTATTTAAAGCAACCCAATCTCATGTTTGCTGACACCGCCAGTGCCCAGATCCGGAATTTTTCAGATGCCTGCACAGCATAATTCCAGCAATTTGCTGGCAGAGAAGGTTCGCATTTGGCAATTTCCCGGTGCCAGCACATTCCCCACCCAGATCTGGTGTGCACTGGCACTGCCAGTGCCCACATCTGGCAATTTCCCGATGCCAGCAAAACCCAAAGGCAGCAATTTTCTGGCAAAGAAAGCCCAAACTTGGCAGCGCCCAGATCTGCTGTGTTTGGGTTGGTTTAAAAGAAGGAGACCTCGGCTTAAGGCTGTGGGAAAACCCTCTTTAGGGTGAGCAGGAGCTCCCACCCATAATCCTCTTGTTCAGTTATGCAGATTGTTACTAGAAAGTTCTGAGTTCTCTTTGCTACCATTGGTTACTTTTTGCCGCAAAATTGTAATATTCTTAATCATTCCTTCCTCTTGGATCCTTCCCTCAGATCCCACCTTAACCCCTCCCCATAAATAAATCTATAAATATCCCTGCTAGATCCTGGACCCAGGCTTTTTTCTGCTTCGCTCTCTGTACTGTGCACGCCATCCTGCTTGTTGTGTTTGCCTTCAGTAAAGTTCTGTTTCCACACAACCAGATGAAAGCAGTCTCTGTCTGTAAAGTGGCCAGAGCTGGTTCTCAGGGAAACCACTGGCCAACGGTCCGGACGAGGACCAGAAGGTTTCACTGGTGTTTGCTGGCACTGCCAGTGCCCCGATCTGGAAATTTCCCTGTTCCAGCACCACCCATGTCCAGCAATTTGCTGGCACAGAAAGCTAAAACCTGTGGCAGCTTCCTGCTACTGGGTCTGGCACCACCCACATCTTGCGTTTGCTGCACCAGTGCCCAGATTTGGAAATTTCCCGGTGCCAGCAGAGCCCAAATCTGGCAGATTTCTGTCACTGGCAATGACACCACCCAGATCTAGTGTTTGCTGGCAGCGCCAGCACCCAGATCTGAAAACTTCCTGGTGCTGGCACAGCCCAAGTCCAGGGATTTGCTGGCACAGAAAGCCAAACTTTGGATATTTCCAGGTTCTGGCATCAGCATCATCCAGATGCTGGTGTTTGCTGGGACCGCCAGTGCCCAGACTTGGAAATTTCCTGATGCCTTCACAGCCCAGGTCTAGCAATTTCGTTTTAGCTAGCTGCGGCAGAGAAGTTCCTCGGACTGTGACTTTCCTTTTTCTTGGAATTGTTTAAACCCGCTCTGGAGGGAAGTCTTTTCCTCAGCTAGTAGGGGGAGGGGCCGCTGGAACTTGCTTTCTAGACTGACCCCTTTTGGAGGTTTCCTCCCAAAATTTGCCTGAAACCAGCACAAACAGTCACAATGAAAACTTCACCAGTGGCACAACTCCCAGCCCAGCAGGAAAAGAACGGACATGTAAAGTTCTCCTAACATTTGTCCTGCTTTGCTGCAAAAGTCCTGCTGCACACACTGTGCACTGTGGAAAGCTAAGAGAAGCTGCAGCTGGTGGCAAATCTTGTGACGGAGACTCAACCTTGTTCTCCATGAGAGATTCTTGGGAAGAGCAGACAGCAGATGATTCCTGGAAAACTGAAACAGCTTTCCGGAAGGGATTGCACTGCTTCTCCATCCCATTCATTCCAAATGCACCTCACCTCTAAAATCTGTGACTTGGCAAGTTTTAGACACTCTAAAATCCCATGAGCTACACACAGTTTTCCTTGTCACACAGGAAAGCAACACTGGAGGTGTAAGTGCAGTGCTTGGGTCAGGTAGGAATCCTACCCCAAGGGAAGGTGGCCCGGCAGTGTCTGACCCTCAGCAAGGACAATGCACAGCAGCGAGGAAGGAGATCGCTGTGCCAGAGTGCAGGAGTCAGGGCTCTGCATCTGGGCTCAAGGCTGCAAAGTTCCCGTGTTTGGGCAGACGGAGGGGCTGTCCCCGGGGCATGCGGGGCTCGAACGTGGGGCTCGTGGGGCGAGCAGGGAACGGACACGGGGACGAACGGCCCCGGTGCTTCAGTTGCAGCAGCGGCGGCGGCAGCAGCAGCGGCGGCAGCAGTAGCGGCAGCAGCAGCAAAACAGATAGTTTTGAATAGTCTTTCTCTCTCTCTCTCTTTCTCTTTCTCTCCCTTTTCCGCTGTCGGGCACCCTTCTCTCGGGGTCCCTTGCCCGGCGTCCGTCTCCTCTCCCCGCCTCCCTCTCCCCTGCCGGGCCGGGCCATGCCCCCGGCCCGCCCCCGGCCCCGGGCGGGGCTGCCCCGTGCCCGGCCCCGGCCGTCTCGCCGCGGTCTCGCCTCCGCCCGGCTCTGGCCGTACTGGCGGTGGCGCTGCTGGGCGGGCATCAGTGCCTGGGCCGGGGGCGGCATCGCCGCCCTTTGCCTCCGCCTGGCCCGAGCCCGGCCCCGGACCCGACGCAGGGTCCAGTCCCGAGCCCGGCCCCGGCCCCGGCCCCGGCCCCGGCCCCGGCCCCCGCTCCTGCCGCGGCCCGCGGAGGACACAGGCGGCGCGGCCGCTCCCGCCGCCTCCGCTGCGGCTTCCCCGGCCCGAGCTCCGCCGCTCGGCAGCGCGGTCGCCAGCCCCGAGCCTCCCGTGCCGCGTTCCGAAGATGGAACGCCTGGGCATGGCCGGCCCGGGGCGGGTGAGGGGCGCTCGGGGGCCATTGCTGGCCCTGGGCCGAGCGCTGACAGCCGCCTCCCGCCCGCAGGGACGGCGCAGGAGGCCCTGCAGGAGCGGTACAGGCTGGGATCGCTGCTGGGGCGCGGCGGATTCGGCAGAGTCTTTGCGGCCACGCGGCTCTCGGACGGCGCCCCGGTGAGCGGCGGGGCCGGCGGCGGGCGCAGGAGGAGGGGATGGAGGAGGAGGAGGGCGGAGGGCGGAGGATGGGGCTCACAGTGCGGGCGGCGAGCTCACCCCGCTGCTGCCCTTGGCTTGCAGGTGGCCATCAAAAGGGTGCCACGGAACCGCGTCCGGCACTGGGGCGAGCTGGTGAGTGAGCGGGGCCAGCAGCCGGGGCTGCCGGCCAGGGATGAGCCGGCGCCCGGCACGGTGGGAGCCACCACCAGGACGCCCCCAGAGAGAGCGGGCGTGGGGCCAGCGCAGGGCGCAGAGCATCCCGGCCTGGCTGAGGGCTTCCCCAGGCCTGGCACGGCATCGGCCCCACTGACGGCATCGTGCTCCTCCCGCAGCCCGACGGCACCAGCGCCCCGCTGGAGATCGTGCTGCTGGCCAGGGTGTCCACTGGCTTCCCCGGTGTGGTCCAGCTGCTGGAGTGGCTCGAGCTCCCCAACTGCATTGTGATGGTGCTGGAGTGGCCAGAGCAGTGTCAGGACCTGCATCATTTCATTCGGGCACGGCGGTTCCTGCCTGAGGAGGTGGCACGGGAGCTGTTCCGCCAGGTGCTGGAGGCCGTGCGGCACTGCACCAGCTGCGGGGTCCTGCACCGCGACATCAAACCAGAGAACATCCTGGTTGACCTGGGCACCGGGCAGGCCAAACTCATTGACTTTGGCTGTGGCACCTACCTGCAGGACACAGTCTACACTCACTTTGCAGGTGAGCCTGCAGAGGGCTGTGCTCCCGCTGCTGACATCTCATTGCCCAACATCTCCCAGCCAAGGTTGGTTGTGGCAGCAGGGATTCTCCCTTTTGCTGCCAGTCAGGGCACTGAATCTTCAGCTGAGTTGCTTTAGAGCAGGGCTGGGTGGGCAGCCATCTTCCAGCCCTGCTGGCAGCCTTTGCCAGCCACTCTGCCCAGGACTAGGGCTGGGCTGGGGCAGCCAGCCCAACCAAAAGCCCCGTGGGTTGGGGTAGCAGAGAGGGAGGGCGGAACCTTTGCCCCAGCCACTTTGGTATGCAGATGACAGGAAGGGCTTGGGCTGCTTCACTCGCCCTGTTTCCCTTGGCTTCATAATATTTTTGGGGAAATGCAGGCAGGGAGGATAAGGGCATGTTTTTTCCCCAGCATGGAGTGGGTTTTTCCTTTGCATGTCATGGTCGGGCCTAGCCAGGGCTGCCCTCTTCCAACACCAGAGGCTTCTTTTCCAACCCTAACTTTGTGCACAAGTCCCAGATGCTGGCGAGAGGGCAGTGGTCACGCTGTGTGCCCCTGATGCAGCCCCCGCACACCCAGGGATGCTGGGGCCAGGCTCTGGGAGCAGCAGCATCCCCCTGATGAACTCCATCTGTATTCCATAGGAACACTGTCCTACAGCCCCCCAGAATGGAACGACTTTGGCTGGTACCATGGCGAGGCAGCAACAGTCTGGTCCCTGGGCATCCTGCTGCACCAGATGGTCTGCGGGGAGCACCCTTTCAGAAGGGGCCAGAACCTCAGCTGGGGCCAGCTCCCGCTGCCACAAGGGCTCTCTCAAGGTGGATCCTCTTCTCTGGGCATGGGGGGAATCCCAGTGCTGGGAGCCAGCAGCGGGCTAGTGGGCATCCCGCTCTGGCAGCTGCTGAGGAGGTGGCACATGTCCTGCTCTCCTCCAAAACAGGGAATTGATGGGAAAGTTTAGGCCCAGCTCTGAGCACATCCAGCATGGCCTGGGCGTGGGAATAGGGGGGCAAAGCAGACAGGAGCCTTCTCTGGCTGACCGGCAGTTTCTGCTTTCTCTTCCCAGAGTGCAAAGACCTGATCAGGTGGTGTTTATCCGTGAACTCCTTGGACAGACCCGCACTGGAAGACCTGTTCTGTGATCCTTGGATGTGGGATATTCCTCTGCCATAAAAGAAGGGAGAGAGCCACAGGGACACTTTGATCCAGGGCCCTGGTAAGTTCCTGCTCCACATATGCCTTGGCAATGAGAAGCAAAGGAACCCAGAGCTTTTTGTGCTGCCTGTGTCACTGCACCGGGGTCATGGGATGGGAACACACAGCCCTTGTGCTGGGGCTGAGCTGCTCTGCGCAGCACTGGTGGCCGCCATCCCAGCTGGTTTTGCTTGTCCCGGTTCCCTGACAGCTGGGGCCCTGGGCAGAGCCCTGAGAGCCTGCTCTGCCCCCAGGGAAGGAGAAGGAGCCCCTGGAGAAGCTGTACCGAGTGGGGATGCTGCTGCTGCTGCTGCTGCTGCTGCTGCTGCTGCTGCTGCTGGAGACAGCGAGGATGACATCAAGGATGACAAGCTCTTCCTCAGCCTGGCCACTGGAGGCTGAAGGTGGTGCACTTTGATTCTGGCACCTTCTTCAAAGCCAAACTCCACAGGGAATTTGCAGATGAGTTCCACCCGGGAAATTCTGCCAGATCTGGGCATAACCCAGCGCGGAAACCAAAGGCTCCCCCTTTGCTGGGGCAGATGCAAGTAATTCATCAGTGGGTGCCCAGCTGCTTTTGGCAGGGTGGGGCATGGGCTGGGGTGGGTACGAAATGGGATTGGGCTCCTGGCTGATGCCAAATTTTGCCCCAAACAGGCAGGGTGACTGCCTAATCAGACTCAGCTTAAGTCAATTAAGCAGGAGGTATTTTTATTAGCGACGCGTCGGAGAAATCACAAAATGGATTTCTAAGTTCTCATAGCAAAGCAAGTCTTATATACAATTTTGGGTATAGGATTACATCAGATCAGATACATAATCATGCATATTCATATGGGGCGTGGTGTAGGCGGAGCGTGGGCGGAGCGTAGGTGGAGACATCTCTTTTGGGGAATTTTCAGGTGGTCGTTCCTGTTGCCTTCATCATAGACGGGGTCTTTCTGATGAGTCTTCCTCTTTAAACTTTTGAACTCTTTTCCTAATTTGGTCAATTCCCGGTGTATTTGGCTTGGATCTCGTGGCTTGGCAAAACCCATAGGGTCGTTTTGACATTGCTGGCTCTAAACCTGCTTAGCTTATTAGTTTCTCCTATACTTATCTCTTCCCCTGTCATGATGCTCTACCTTTTATCTAATTTATTGCTCTGTTTTCCTGGTGCTGTGCTTTCTCCGTGTGTTCTAGTGCCAGGCCCTTCTTTACATGCTTCTCATTCTATGTTTTAACCCATTACTTCTGGAAGGCTATCTGCTTTAGGGCTTCATTTCCCCCCTTTTTCTAGTAACTTACGAATTCTTTCGTCAAGTTCTGGTCCCACAGGACGCTGATAGGCTCGTACCATTGCCCAAATCATTTGGGTCCTCTTCATTATGCCCCTTAATTTCCACCACAAACAGATGTTTGTAAGAGTTAGTAATAACAAAGCTACAATTACTACTAGCATTGGGTGCACCAGGTAATGGAAGACCTGTGTAGCTGTTGGGGAGTATCCTGTAAGGATGTCCCACCAGTGATGCTGGCCTACTTGTTCTACTTCGGTCAGGACATTCTTTATCTTTTCTGAATTGTGTTCTATCTGCCATACCATTCGTTTAGTTGTTTGATTCACCTTTTGCACCAATTTCTTTACTTCAGGGTGTGCAAGCATTGCTTTGAGGATTTTGACGTCCATCCCTATTTGTAATTTCGGTATCTCTTGATATAGGTTGAAATTTGTGTTAATTAGCTGTTGGGTAGTTATTGGGACAGTGTAATGAAAATCACAACCTATGATCTTGGTAAAGTTGCATACACAAAAGTTAGTATTGTTAGTCTCTTCTAGGCAATTATCTATAGTGACGTTGTCACAAGCTGTCCTTACGCAAGCACACCCATTTCCTATATAGTAAACTTGTGATTGTGTTTTATCATGCGGAAGCATTTCTAAGGTACATACACTGTTTTCAGCATCTAAGCATAAATCTTCGGCTTCTACCACAGCATTTTCGCAAACATAGCCTAATTGTCCTCTAGGGATACATGCTTCCGTGCTAACCGATTGCCACCTATTTTTGGTGTAATCATAACTGGCCCAGACGTTATGGTTTATTGGCCTAACAACGACTTTTTGGTGTGTTGTCCCTAGAGTGAGGATGGGAAAGATAGCTCTTTCCTCTGCCGCACTAATGGTGAGGACATAAGCTTCAATGTGTTCTTGTTGAGGCTCATAGGTGAAGTTCACTAGTTGCCACCAAGCCTGATGGTCCCTCTCAAATTGTGTAGTGTGATTGTCCTTTAATATTGTTTCCCTTATTTCTTGAGGTAATATACCTGACGTTCCTTCTCTCATTATTCCTGCCGCTACTGATTGTACCCATTGTTGCGTCTGAGAGCATTGGATAGCGAGTGCAACGTCTCTGCTGAGTTCCCCTGTGTAGTCAGTGAGCTTTACAAAATCTTCTGCAGTATGGTTTGCTACCATGGCTAGTAATTTCACCACTAGCGATTGTGTTTCGGCTAATGTAAGCATGGATGTACTGAGAGGCACCTTAAGCTTTCCTAAGCTCGATGTGACGGTACTTAATTTGTTTACTAATACCTCTTGATCTATTGTGTTTACTATGCCAAATCCGGTGCCAATCCACCCACTTAGATCTCTTTTGTTTTTCTGTGATGAGACCTTGTCGCTAGCCATGCATTCCATCCCTTAAGGCTTTGCTGTATAAATGGTCGACAATCCTTTTGCAAATAAGTAATATCGGTGTGAATGTTCATTTGCACCTTTTTCAGGGAATAAGTGGGGTCCAACAATAATTTTAGTTCGTTAGATTTTCTTATCACCTGAGGCCCTATAAAGGTTAGGTTGTGTACTGCTTTACACTCCACTGGTAGGGTGGTTTCTTGAGGCAAGTCTAGATCTGGATACAATGGGATCACATCTTCTGGTAATTGTATCCTATATTCGGCAGCACGCCCGAAAACACGCCCGAGGGAGCTAAAACCCTGTCCCAGTGTTTTTAACTCCCTTTCACATGTGAACGTCATTGACTGATCCAATCTAAATACCATCTCACACAGTGCTTCTCCTCCCTCAGGACCACTAGATGCTCTATAAATCACCGAGTTTCGGGGTTGTGATCCAGGTGGATCTTCCCTGAAGTCGCTCCACTGACATGAAATTGGGCCCTTTTGTTGAGTCCAGGCAATGGGTTTGCCCATTTTCACTAGACTAAAGGTAATTAGGTTTTGTTTAGAGGCTGGCATCGAGGGTTGAATTGTTAATACCAGCCGCCTTGTTTTTCCTCCTCTTTCTCCTGTTGGGTCAAGCTCTCGACACCCAATTTGGATTTGGTCTCCCTTGTATGCTATCATGGAGGGCTGATGCCATACTTTACTTGCATATGGCTGATTGTTACGTAAGGCATAAACCTCGAAGTAGGGTCCGCTCATTCCTAATTCCGGGTGGATACACTGATGTGCATGAGACCATGGGTCTATTGGGGAAGAGTCTTGGGGAAGAGCTATACTTATCGAGAGTCCAATGATCAGAGTTGTAAAGGTTTGGGGTGGAGTCGGGGTCATAATGTCTGGCTGTCAATTTTGTTTCTTTTGGCGTTCTCGTTGCTTGATGTGAATTTGTTCTACTCGTAAAATAGCCTTTTCTAGTTCAGTGTCTAAATCTCTTTGTTTTTTAAAGGGTCCAATTTGGTCACTTGTTAGTGGATGTCGTGGGACAGAAGAATAGCAACGGGTCGATAAAACCTTAGAACGACTAAGTTTCAAACAATATTGTAACCAGCGGTGTACTTTCCAATGGCACCACCCTAATACAATTTGTTCGGGAGCTTCAAACAATTCCTTAGCCTCTAAAATGGGTCTGTTGGCGAATTTCTCTAAGGCCAAATAGTCGTCATTTTCCCTTGCTTCTTTGCAGCTACACTCATAACATTGGAGGTCCAGTAAACAACTTTGTACGTTCCAAAATTTTCTATCGCAACCTCCACAAAGAAATCCAATTAGTCCCACACAATTTCTTTCCCCACATCCAAAGCACGGCCGATCGTGAATAGGGTCCTGTGGGTCAGGTCCTTGTTGACTGTACGTTTCGACCCACCCTATCCACTGTATTGGCGTGCTACGCAATGCAGCTCTAGCTTCGGCATTAAATTCTGCTATGAGAGATAAAGGTTTTGGCAAAGTCAATGTTAGTTTATGTTGGATTCTCACGTGATCCTGCGGAGACAGCTGACTCAGAAGTCTGTACATCTAGGGCAGGTTTAATCTCCTCTTGTTGGTTTTCCGGAGCTCTCTTGACCCGTGAATAGTGGATCCACGTAGGTCGTTCCTTGATCCGAACCGCGGTGAAGGTAGTCAGCAGCACTTGGAAAGGTCCCTCCCACTTTTCTTGTAGGGGTTTTCCTGAAAGATTCTTAACATACACCCAATCCCCGGGGTTAAACGGATGCAATTTGTAATCCGGTTGCTTAGGTTGGTGCTCTATCATCACAGCAGCATTCTTATCAAACTGTTTCCCCACCGCAATTACATAATCGTAAATGTATTGATTACCAATCTGGTCTATGA